CTTGTTTTATTTTGTTAACTGCATCTTTTGTCAAGATGTTCAGAAAGAAAAAAAATAAAGTTTATAACTTTGTCTTCATGTCTGTGTCATCAATCAAACTACTTCATTTTGCCAGATCACAGCAGAGTTTGGTGACTTTTTAGACCTATAAAACCATTTGTATCATATTTAATACGTGAGGTTTCTGAGCAAAAAAATCGCCAAAAGTGCCCCATGTATCAAATGTGATACAAAAGAAATAGAAATAAACTAAATAATATGGCCCCAAAAGTGCTATATAAATACAGTCCATTTACCATTTACCTCTATTCCTATATGCCTGGACTGTCTGTCTATGCATATATGGCAAATAAAAATCATAAATCTTGAATTTTGAAAAAAGGAATTATATTTTGGATTTTGTTAAAAGGTTTAATAAACATCTCAGTTCCAAAAAATTTGAATGTTCTGGCTATTTTTTGATGTGTCAGGCTTTACAGGGTTAAATTCCATTCAGCATACCATCAGTTCCATAATGAATAAGATACTGTGAGTTCCACAGGACTTTATGTGTTGATTTAACTATAAATAAGATTTACTAAACTGAAGAAACCAAGTTTACAGATATACTTGATCTGTAATTTTACAAATCGCCATTTGTTTTGGGGTCAACAGTGCTCACTCCAACCCAACCCAACCCTGAAGAGCCACAACCTGATTTCTTGTAAATCACATGATTTCAGAGAAATCTGGCTGACTTGCCAATGTTTAGACATTGTGAAACAGATACAGGCATATTCTATGCTGCAGGCCATGCAGTGATATAAAATTGACTTTTATAAATATAAGTTGTAGTGTGAAATGTATATGTCAGTGCATTATAATCTGGTCAGATTATTAGATATAATATTTTATATTTATGCATAGAAATTCACATCAACCAGTATGTCCTACATCTGTACACATCAGTATAAATGTTAAGTCTGACAGCACAATCATTTTCTCAGTCTACATATTGCCATGGCACATTGTTCAGGAGACATTGCTCTGAGGAATGACACATATTTCTAAGTTGTCGCTGAAGAAAAAACAGAAGGAGGGCACTGAGAGAGTCAAAGATTGAGAAATAGAGGGGTGGATAACTTATATAAACCCCAGTTAACCAAAATCCTGTGTCAGAACAGGCAAACAAAAAAGAAGCTGCAAGATGAAGTGCCACATTGTTTTAATACTGCTCCTGATCATGACTGTGGAATCACAGCATTCAACAGACGACAGGTAAATGTAGGAATAGCTGCATGAAACTACATTGTGTAATATATGTAATAGTGTAATGTAATACCAACCCATTTGTGCTTAATGAAAAGAGAGTTCAAATATGCCTTATGTCTTCTTTAGTATGATTACACAAATAAGTTATGTATATTTTCAGTTTTGTATATGTTAAATGATTATTATGTCATTTAGTCATTATGTGATAAATAAGGCAACGTACGTAGTATTACAGGTGTTTATTTATAAAGGCAGAAGTCAATAGTCAATGAATGCAAAATATAACAGTGGACACACTAGAGCTATTTTTTGCCTTTGTGTGCAGTTTCTTCATCTCAGCTCCCAGGCTGTTTCATGTGGGTGTTAATGAGAAGGTGTTTGTCCAGATGGGAAAGCGTCATCTAAATAATGATGTTACTCTCTATCTGGTTGATGGGTCTACTGGGACTGTTATGTCTGAGAGGAAATATGTTCGCTGCACTGATGAAAGTCAAATTAAAACAGTTGAGCTCAAGGTATGAAAACGTCCTCACTCATACAAAAAAGCTAACCAATCAGACAGGACTGAGATGTCATTAACACAAACTTGTATTTTGCATCTTTACAGATAAACAGAGAAACTTTGTCAAGACTGGATCGAAAATATGACAGTAACTTTGAACTGGTGGCAGAAAGTCCATCCTTCTCTAAGAGGATGTCAACAATGGTCAGGTCTTCAAAACGCAGGGGCTATATTTTCATTCAGACTGACCAGCCAATCTACAATCCAAAACAGACAGGTAAAATGAAAGTTAACAAATGTGAAAACATTTTACACTCTATGGAAAAATTGACAATGATTACATTATTATTCTTGTTTTAGTAAAATACAGGATATTCAGTCTTGACCACACATTCCGGCCTCATGGGGAAGTGATCCAGATATCAGTATTTGTGAGTAGAAATATTTTCATCAGGACTAAGAACAACTTTGAAAGATCTGTGCAAATGATTGATGATTTTATCATTTTATGACAGAATGCTGCTGGAAACAGAATAATGAAGTCCTTAATGTCTGCAAAGGGAGGATTACTTAGAGGCATATTCCCCATACCTGAGGCCGCTAAGTATGTTATAACAGATGTGTTTAACAGCACAGGCATCTTTGACACTTTGACATGGTAACTTATGTATGTTTTGTTCACAAAGACTGGGCACATGGAAGATTACAGCACACTATCAAGATGATGAAAGAAAGGCTTTTTCTCGACAGTTCCAAGTCAAAAAATTTGGTAAGATATTAATCCCATTTAGGTATTTTTAGCAGATAATATATTTCCAATCTAAAAGATATTTTTATTTTTACACACCCTAGTTTTACCAAGTTTTGAAGTGGACATCGCAATGGAGCAGAACTATATTTTGTGGAAAGCTAAAGAAAATTTTATCTTCACCATCTCAGCCATGTAAGTGGTGAAAACATTTAAGTATTTATTTTATTTTATTTTATTTTAAGAACTCAAAAACTACCAACACTTAAAAAAACAGACAATCGTGGCAGTGAGTAATGAAGCGGCTAATGTTCCACCAAGGCCATGGCTAGCAGACAGTTATCTCATAAATGTAGCTACATCCAGAGGAGCAATATTAAAATTAAAAAAAAAAAAAAAAAAAAAATGTGGTTCTTTAGCTCCTAGATGCTAAGCTAACTGGTTTGTTTTAAACCCTCATAGCAAGGCAATGTCACTGTAGAGCTGTAAATGATAAAGTGACCATTTTAAAATTTTACCTGGTAATATTAGCTGAATAAACTTCAGGTCATTCCATTTATTTATCATTATTTCAATCATTTTTCTGTATATTTACAGTAGCACCATTCCCATATGAACCTAGGAACAGTCAATGAACGATTTAGGATTTCTAAAGGGTCCTAGAATCTGGAAATGTTTATATTTTTTAAATATGTTGAGAAATGTATCATTTAGTTGGCTACCTTTCTATTCTTAATAAGTCTCAATTTCACAATATTTTCTCTAGGTATTCACATGGTGACGCACTTAACGGGTCTTACCACTGCCAGTTTGGAGTGGTACAGAAACTTGGTCAGAAAACAGCACCTAAGTTTATCAAGGGACTGGAGCTGACTGGCTCGGTGAGGAAACAGATATCTATCCAAAATTATAACGTACCTAATTTCAAAATCAGATAACCTGTAATATAGATGTTACATTTCTTGAAAACCAACTATTTATGCAATTCCTTGCAGGTCCAGAATGGAATTGCAACAGTGTCTCTTGATAGAGCAAAACTAAATGAGCAACTCCGAGTTCAGCTGAAGCTAGCCCTCTCTGATTTACAGCAACGTGGGGAACAACTCTTTTTAAGAGTATATGTCACCAACATACAAAGTAAAGGACACACTTTATACCATTATTTATGTCAGAGAGATTATTGTTTTGATCAAAAATATTGTTATTAATCTAGTATTGATTTTATAACCCAAATGAGGAGATGGCTCATATGAGTTGATTGTTATGCACCTCCAGGGCACAGTGACAACTTATACTTTTGCAATATGGTATTTGATGAGAAACATGTTGTGAAGTTTGACTCACATCCACAAGCTCGTAAACTTCAATGGTCTTATACAATAAAGAGTAAGAGTAGTTACAACAACCATATTTTTAAATAGAATTATGTGACAATTTTACAGCAAATCTGTTAAATATACATCATACAATTGCTGTAGAAATATGTTAATGATTGTGTACCAGATCAAACCCCCCTAAATTAACTTGTTGTCACTAATCATAAGATGTGCCATGTTGTATTTGAGAGAGTAAAGGAGGAAGATACCGGATATTGTTATGTTTCATTGCAGTCAATACTATGTGCATTTTTTTTTTGGCCCAGGCGGTGAAATGCAACAGACAGAAGTTTCCATTCCTATCATCTCCAACAAATACACCATTGATCTCTCCCGAACTCGCTCATACTTCCTTCCTGGGTATCCACTAGATGTGGTGGTATGCATTACACTAACAAGTGGGCACACCGTTATGTACATGACTGCAATCATTTTGTATGCAAAAGATTTTGCTTGTTTTTTGTTTTTGTTGTTTTTTGGTAGGTGGTCATGCGTCTCCCCGATGGCTCTCCAGCAGCTGGTGTGAATGTATCGATTCATGTTCCACCATCTACAGAGAAATATTTTCAAGGCATCACCAACCAGGAGGGGGCAGTGATTAATGTTTTTAATGTTCAAAGTGCAGCTGATTTCACTCTCGATGTTAGTATCCCCAGCCTTGGCTAAAAGTGTTATTAAATGAGTTTATGTTCTGTTTTAAATGTTTGACCCTCTGGCTCCAACAGGTGACTGTGGGTGACCTGCAAAAGAGTACAATAATTAGACCCGTTTCATCTCCAAGTAACAGCTACCTCCACATAAGTATTACCAGCAGAGTGTACTCTGTGAATGAGTTCCTGAGTGTAACATACCACACCGTAAATGCCCCAATAACTGGGTTTATATACTACATGGTGAGACCTATCTGATCAAATACAACACAGTGTTTTGAGAAAGAAGGGCAGTACATAAGGATTTTGGATTGTCTCTGTTGCAGGTCCTAAGCCGTGGGATCCTTATAGATCAAGGTTCTCATGCAATTGGTATTTCAATTACACATAAACTGTATATACGGCCTAATATGGTTCCATCCTTCCGTCTGATTGGATACTTCTACAACAAGCATGGTGACATCATTACTGACTCAGTGTGGGTAGATGTCAGAGATGAATGTGAGATAAATGTCAAGGTGAGTAAACAGAACAGATAAAACTGCAGCCTGAATTAGACTAACAGAAATTTTCCTCTGCCAACTGTGTGTGTTGTGTTTGAATAAGTTAAACCGATAGTCTTTGAACATTTAGTAGCTTCTATTAATATGACATGAAGGAGTATTAGAGCACTGACAAAATAATGTGAAGGCTGTAAATTGATTTTAACTTTAAAGTAACTAATCCATAATCTTACAAACAGCTGCTGTGGGTGTTATTAATTTGAATGCCAGTCATCACTCTTGGCCAACACACATGATTTAGTTTAGTTTAGTTTCAAATACTGAACAGTTTTTAAATAGGTGTAAAGATATTTTGTTTTAATATTATGATTGCATTAACCTTGACTGTGGACAACAGCATTTAAAAAGCTTTGTAATATCTTAACTTTGATTTAGGTACAACATAAAGGACCCTTTGAACCTGGAAAAAAAGCACAGCTAGAGATTGATTTACATGGCCAGAGTGCCAAGGTGGCTTTGTTGGCTGTGGACAAGGCCTTCTACGCTCTCAATGTCGATAATAAATTCACAGCAAAACAGGTAACACTTTCACACACTCCTTGAACACTTACTTTCTCCCTGAGGCTGTTTACAGTAATCCAACCTGTGTATATGAATTATAATACAATAAAATCAAAGCTTGTTCCCACTTTTCAGGTGTTTTCCACTATGCAGTCATATGACCTTGGTTGCTCATATGGTGGAGGACACAACCAAGCATCTGTTCTAACAGATGCTGGGCTGTCATTTGTATCTTCGAAACAGTCAGAATGGAAAAGAGGTATAACAAAAAAACAAAAACAAAACATTTAACAGAAAAATAAATAAATAAAAACAGATCTCTCTATAGATAGATAGAAATAATATTCCTTATTAAATCACTTTAAAATGTTCTTTCTGTGACCATACCACTGAAAAGCTGAACTTTGATAGTTTACTGAAAAGCAGTTGTTTACTTATTTATCCCATGCTGCACTTTTGCTGTTATATTACTTTCCAGATTCTGTCTGTGAACCACAATTGTCACGACAGAGGCGCTCTGTGGACCACAATGTTCTGGCATTATAACTGTGGTCTTATAATGTAAGATAGTTCTGGTAAGAATATGCAATGCAAATGTGTCATTTCATGTTCTTTTAATGTCACTTTCAGAAACTAACTTTACTAATGAAATCCTGCAAGAGTGCTGTGTTCAAGGGTTTACTCCCATCCCAATGAGACTATCATGTAAAGACAGAGCAGAGAGGGTCTCTAAGGTGAAAAAAAACCAAGCTTGTACAGATGCCTTCTTAAAATGCTGCCTTGAAGGAGAACGTCTGAGACAGCTAAAGATTCAAGAGGATGCCCAGAAAGGACTTGGCCGGAGTGAGATGAAAATGTCATGCATGTGGACAATAAATAATTGTTAATAGCCTTTGATAACTGTGGAATGATATTAACAGGAGTTTAAATATAAACCTTCTCAATTTTTAGCTGTAAGCACAGAGGAAATTGAATACTTCTTCTTGGAAGAGTCTCAGCCCGTTCGACGAATATTTCCCCCCAGCTTTGCTTTCACAGAATTTGATGTAAATAGCAAAGGAAGGTAAGAGATGGACGTTGAGCTTTTAATATCATTTTCCCCCAGTGGATTACAATAGTTAGTTCCAGCACTATAACCTTTGCTCTTCCTTTTGTTCATATCATTATTTTAGTTAGCATTTGTGGCTTCTAATCTAGTCTTTTTCTACAGTGCACTGTAAGTGAATGTGGTTAAATGCTTTTCCTTAAGTTTACAGTATATCTTATAATTGGACAAAGCATTTGTCTGATGCATTTTACAACCGACTGATTTATTTCATCTTAACTGAAAACTTGTTTAGGCATACGTTGCAACTACCTGATTCTATTACCACATGGGAGGTTCAGATCGTCACATTATCTGCAGCCACTGGTAATAACAGCTTCTCACTTCACAAATGCAAGTTGGTATTATAAATAACTACAACTAACTTACGCTATGTTTCATCCAGGTCTCTGTGTAGTTAAGCCTACAGAGGTCAGAGCATTTAAGAGGGTATTTGTGTCTCTGAGACTGCCTTACTCAGTGAAAAAATATGAGCAACTATACATCTCACCTGTTGTCTACAACTATGACGATAAAGAACTACAGGTAGATACAATCTGTTGTTATCTGTTGCACAAAGAAATTGAAGCTTATTTCTTCATGCTTTTTCACTCTTTTTTGTGACACTTGCTTTTTTACAGGTGGCAGTTCATATGACACAAACTGAAGGACTTTGCTCCCCCGGTTCTTCCACCCCCGCTGCTTTTGTTAACATTACTTTGAAGCCACAGTCCTCCCAGTCTGTCTATTTCTCTGCTGTCCCCATGGTAGCAGGCTCAATACCCATCAAAATACGTGTCTATGATATAGAGAACAGCATGGGAATAGATGCAGTTGAAAAGATGTTGAATGTGAAGGTGAGTGACAAAGGCATCGTGTTATCTCTGTGTAAAATGACTATGAAATTCTGAAAACAAATATGGCAACCAGGCATCTTTGTTGTGTCATGTTGTATGTAGACAGAAGGACTATATCAGAGAGATGAAACAACCCACCTGCTTAAATTAGATGGTGAGTTGTTTCTGTATTTCTCAGTGATACTAGATGATAACTGTCATTATTTGTATCCTTCGGTATATTACATTTGCTTTACCAAATTAAATTCTTCCTGTCATGATAGGATCAAGCACAACGAATTTTACTATTGATGGAGCGTTACCTCATAACACAATCCCTGACTCCGATGCCAATATTTTCATTTCAATGGAAGGTATGCACAGTATATTAGACACAGACATATAATTTACAGATCTTTGTAACTGACAGTGTCTTACCTTTGTTTTCACTTGACAGGGGATGGATTTGCTAATACATATGCGAAGAACCTTCTTTCTCCTGAGTGGGTTGCTAAAATGATTGTGCTGCCTTCTGGATGTTTAGAACAGACAATGAGTCGCCTGGCTCCTACGGCTTTAGCCTTGCGCTACCTTGACCTAAGTCAGCAATGGTTTAACCTGCCTGCTGGTTCAAGAGATGAGGCTCTTAATAAACTTGAGTCAAATCAGAACTCAGGTAAGAACACAATGAGCAGTTAACTGCAAAGGTATTTGCACATTCTTGTATAATTGGGCCTATAACTCTGAAGACAAAATGTTTGAACTAAGTTTCAAATAATAATAATGTAATCTTTTCTAAGCAGTCCATTAAGAGTTTTTGTTGATGTCTCCTTTTGCCCATTGACAAGATGGTGATGGAGCTTTCTGTTTCTAAAAATTACCACAGTATATTCTTGATTCACAGTGTTATTCCTTTTCAATGTTGCGCTCTCTATACTCACTAATAACTGTAGAGATTTTTGATTTAAACAAGGTAAACACTTTCTTTGTCAGGTTATATGAACATTTTTCGATACAAGCAACCCAATGGAGCTTATGGAGCATTTGGTTCAGTGCAGTCTAGTAACTGGTGAGTATTTGCTGCCTTACTGATTTTTGATTTAAGGTAGTTACTTCAGTATCTCTCATGGTAAATCATCATCTCTCCTCATGTTCCTTCTCTTGTCTACAGGGGGACTGCCTTTGTAGTGAAAGTGCTATCAATGGTGGCAGAGCGTCAGACGGCGGCTGTTGGACAGCAGGCCAGAATATCTAGGGTTGTACCAGCACAAGAAATCACGCACCCAGTCAGTTACTTGCTTTCAGTACAGAAACCTGATGGGTCATTCACTGACCCAAATCCAGTGCTACACAAGGGAATCCTGGTAATGTCTTTTAGAAGCTACTGCACAGTTCATGTTAGAACATATATATACTAACAATAGTATTAGATATGGTAACAAATTAAATAGCAGTGATTTGAAACCACTATTATCTCTATGTGTTATATATAGATGGACACAGACCAAGATGCATCCATGACTGCTTTCATAACTCTTGCACTGAATCGGTCCCTTCAGTTCCAAACTCCAGAAGCACGAAATAATGTGGTGAGATAATATAAAAGAGAATCGTCCTGTGTGATTAACCACGGTAGCAGCGTGGCTTCTGGGATAACAACATTGGTCAATCCACTGTTTAGGCCCAGACTGAAATATCTAATGAACTACAGATGGAATATCATGTAATTATGTACAGATATCAAAAAGCACTAACTGGAATTGCCTGAGGTAATTGAAGATGTATCACCGAGAGGCTTTTTCAGCTCTAAAAGTAGAACTAGAAAACCTTTTCGCATCGGATTCGGACATATACAATCAAAGTGAAGTGTAATCATTTTGGTGATCCTCTGTTTGTCTAGTGCCATCATCAAGTCAGAATTAGAATTTTTCTCTACTTTGGTTTATGATCAAAAACCTGCAAAACTACTTAAAGTCCCATCATCAGCCTCAGTTGTACTTTGTGTATTGAGCTAATTAGCAAATGTTAATAATATGCCTGTTAACAATGTTAACAATAAGATGAAATAAATGGTAAACATTATATTTACTGGCTAAATATCATCATTATTTTTAATATATTTTAATATACTGTAGTCAGTGCATAATTTGCTAGAAAGATTAGGTGCAAAAATTAGTTGACTGTCTTTATGCTACTTTTTTACCAGGAAGCAGCCATTTCAAGATCAACAGAATATCTCCAGTCGCACTTTGAGGAGCTTCAGCATCCTTATGCTGTTGCCATTGCAGCCTACTGCCTCTCCGTGTGCCTACCAAGAGGAACAGATCTTTCACGTGTTTGGACAAAACTTCAAACAATGGCCACTGAAGGCATGTCTAATGAAAGCAAATAGGTGTGGGTGATATGGATAGAATCCTCTGTTGCAGTAAATGCAGCTTCATTTTGTAATATATGTAGGTACTGTATACTTCATTGAAAATCAACTGAGAAAAGAGGTTTTTAGCCAATAAAAAAAATTTACTTGACAAAACAATGTATTGCATCACACTGATACAAAAAACAACGTAAAACCTATTATTTCCATAAATGGGGGCTCAGTGAATTATGACATCACTGAATAAACCAGAGATATGAAAGGGATAGCTATCATGGTGTAAAGAGCATGGAAAATCTTAAATCATCTCGTGGTAAAAATGGCATTCTCAACATAAGTGAGTGTCACAGTGTGCTGTTATCTGAAATTTGTGAGTTTTTTGTCATTTACATATTGTCTGTTACTTATTTATCAGGGGAGAATGGCTGTTATCTGTGGTCAGCTGATGCCAACACAAAGAATGAAAAGAGGCCAGATGCTATCACAATAGAGACTACAGCCTATGCCCTCCTAACTGCAGTGGCACTTAAGAATACCGACTGGGCAAACAGGGCAGCCTGCTGGTTAACAACTAAAGAAAACTATTTTGGAGGCTACAGATCATCACAGGTGATTAAGACGCTACTGTAGGTTGAGAAGGGCTTAAACGCATATTACTTTAAACATGGCCCTCACAGTATATCCTCTGTGTGGCCTCACATAATGCAGCATGCTCCATATTAACAGTTCAAGTAGTAATGCTCACATGTTATTAATGTTTTATTGCCATGTCCAGGATACCCTCATGGTGTTGGACGCCCTCGCTGAGTATGAGCTCTTGAGGCCCATCAGTCCCGAAGCAAATATAGAAGCAGAGTTCCATGTCACAGGGAAGAAAGACATTATAAAGCTTGCACTGGAAAATAAAGAGGAGAGGGTGGAAACAAACCTGAGGGTATTAAAGCACAGTCAGCAATACACCTATATATACACATAAATAATTAAACACATTCTGAAATGACTTGATTTCTCTTGTGTCTCTTGTCCTAGAAATTTACAGGTAACAACATTGTGGCAGAGTTGACAGGACAAGGACATACCAAGCTAAAAGTAAGTATGATTACTGGCTGTATGTATGCTGAAAGAGATACATATTTTACAGCAACTCTCTCTGGCAGATTGTAAAAGCTTACCATCTACTTGATCCTGACGATGTCTGTGCCAAACTGTCTATCAATGTCACAGTGGAGGGGAAAGTGGAGTACACCGGTGAGCTTTGTGATAACAAATCACAGTCATCTGTATCGTTGATAAAAGCTACACAGCTACATTAACCTCTGTTTCTGTAGTTAAGATCATAGAAAATTATGATGACTATGAGGACTATGAAAATGATGAAGATAAAGCCAAGACACGAGTGGAACGATCGCCGATTGAGTGGTTTGATTCTCACACCAGAAACAGGAGAAATATTAATAATAGCTTAAATACAGATGAGACTGTCACCTACAAAGTCTGTGTCAGGTTAGTAGGACATGTTTCACATCACATCACTGTTATTTATGAGACAGTGGGTTTTGCAGGACCCTGAAGAATTTTTTTTCTCAGCCTGTGAGTTTCCTCTTGCTTTGCTTTGTATAGGCACAGCCTGGACACCAATCTCACAGGAATGGCCATCGCTGACATCACACTTCTAAGTGGATTTGAGGCTGTAACTAAGGACTTGGACCAGGTTAGTATTAGCTGCATCCTCTTCATCACTGTCATCCTCAGTGCAAAGTAGGAGGAGCTACTTTAGGCACCACATATGTCCCATTCATTTCTCACTAGACAATCTGTAATGATTGTCAGATGGAGCATGGCTCAAATGAACTCAAAGGTCCTGGTTTCACATCACATCACTGTTATTTATGAGACAGTGGGTACATAATTTCATAATTTGGGTACATATAAAAACATAAGGAGAAAAGTTAACTACAGTCTGTTACCCAGCAGTGACACTGGGGAGTTACTGGTCCTGACTGAGACATAGTCTTTCACATAACCTGCTGTAAAATAGCAACATGTTGTTATTAAGGTTGCTTTTTCATAAACATACAACATGCGTGTTAATTAGCGATCTTTAGAGGTGCAGAGATTTTGTTATCTTTGGACAGAGCCAGGCTGTCTTCATATTTAGCCTACATGCATGAGAATGTATCAGTCTTCTTATCTGTCCCTCGACAAGAAAGAAACTAAGTGTAATTTCCCAAAATACCTAAATTTTCCTTTAAAGATTATGGTGTTCTGCAGTCTCTATCTTCAGTAAATTCACTTTTGAATTCCAAGTTGAAATAATTACCGTATAACTGGATATAAACCTATAGCATTATAACAGTATTCAGCTGCATCAGCTGTTGTGTGTTTTAAGTAACACTGAGGATATTATAAAACAGAAATATGTGGTGTGGAAACACAGAATAGAAGAGAAAAACTTACAGAACCACCAACTTACAACTCTTTTTCATTGCATCAAAGCCATACATGAGAGCAAAGGATTTTAGAAATGCCTTTTCTCCTGTTATAATATCCAAAAGTTCTCTTTTTTTCCTTCTAGCTAAAAGAGTTGCCAGAACAATACATTACCCATTATGAAGTCTCCTACGGACGAGTGGTGATCTACTTCAATGAGGTAAGACTGAAATCAGTTGATATTCACAAAACCTTTAGGTTAAATACTAAAAGATTTGCTCTTTCTCTAGCTGATAGATCCAGAAGAATGTATAAGTTTTGATGCCACACAGACTGTGCCAGTTGCCCTTCTACAGCCTGCCCCAGCCGTGTTCTATGACTATTATGAACCAGGTAGGCTTTTTATTTTCTATTTTCAGCAGAGGGCATATGTTTACTTAATTTACCAGGACTTTATGGGCTCTTTGTGCTTTCCTTGCAGACAGAAAGTGTACTGTGTTCTACTCTGCCCCAAAAAGAAGCAAGATAGTGTCCAAACTGTGCTCAGAGGACGTGTGCCAGTGTGCTGAAAGTAGGCCATCACTCTAAGACTCATACTGACACACACCTGTGCAAAAGATTAGACTGTGCATAAAAACACATGGTAGTTTGTGTAAATAATTAAAAATATGCAAATCTCTACATTTCTTTAGGACCCTGTCACAAACTAAAAATGACGTTTGGTTCATCAGAAGGCAAACAAAAACTCAAGAAGGATGACCGTTTACAACATGCTTGCTTCTACCCTACAGCAGATTACGGTCAGTACTGAACACAAGACAATATGGTGTTATGTATCTAATATTAACTTAAAGATATAAATCCATCCCTTCTTAAACTGGCCCTATATCAAATTACAGTTAAGAGGACTGGTTGTTAATAACTGGTGGACTCTTTTTCTATTTCAGCATACACTGTTGAAGTTCTCGGTGTTTCTATGAAGAGTAACTTTGAGCTGTATGAAACAAAGGTAATCGGGGTACTAAGATCATGTAAGTAAATTGAAACCACAAGGCTTAGTAGACCTTCACATGGTTGTGTACCAATAGGCTTATGTTTGGAAGACCTACCTGACATATGACTATCATCTGTCTACCAGATGGAGATAAATTTGTGAAGGAGAATTCTATTCGAGTGTTTGCCAAGAGGCGTCACTGTAAAGAAAAATTAGATGTGGGAAAACAATATCTCATCATGGGCAAAGATGGCTCCACAACTGACTCAAATGGAATGTAAGTATAGCCAGTAAAACTAATGGAAGTATAATTTTACACTGATTGATTCTCATTCTCTTCACTTTTGCCCTCTGTTGCAGGATGCAGTATCTGCTAGAATCAAATACCTGGCTTGAGAAAACGCCTTCAGATGAGCAATGTCAACGATCTGCCAATCAACCTGCTTGCAGAGGGTTTTCTGAGTTTCTAAATGAGTACAAGCTGGATGGCTGCAAACAGTGAAACAGCTGGACACAAAGAGCTTCTTCCTTTTTTTAATTTTACATTTTGTAATATTTTACCTCTACCATACATATAAACTACTATAATCAGTCATGACAGCACAGGACAAGAACATGCATTAGCATTAACACAGTACTGCTAGCCTAATTCACAGTATTAGTCAAAAATGTACTTAAATGTAACTATTAATCATTTCTTTATTTTTTAACAGGTATTGATGTTTAAATAAAAACACTTCATAATTGTTGTCAAGCAAATCCTTTGTATGTGTTTTTTTAGTTGACTGTAGAGTACATACTGAGATAATAGTTTGAAATGAAACAGCAACAGAAAAAAAAGTGTCCACAAATAGATACATTTGTTTTTTGTCTTTCATTCTGATTATATTTATTTATTTTTAAAGTATTTTCACTTTTACTGGCAGTAAAAGAGCTGAGAGGGGTCTCTGTGTTCAACGCAACCCCCCTCAAAGTTACTGCCCTCCTTACTTAACCTGTGGAATGTGAGGTGCAGTAAAAGGGAGAGGGGGAGTGGTTTAATGTGCATCAGACTGGATTCAGCTCAATCATCATGTTATAAGGATAAAAGCCATTCATTAGAGGGAGTTGTCTCCTCTCACTGTGGTCAACTTCAACAGATGCTGCAGAAGATACTCAGTGTAGTTATATAATTCAAAAACCTGTGGGTAATGCAGAGAGAGGTAATGTGAGACAACAGGGGGCAGTGGGAGGGAGCAGTGCAGAAGCAGAAGGACGGGGTTATGGGTGGAGAAGTGAGGAACAAGCAAGGGCTTATGTGCTTATATTATTCTAATCTGTGAGGTCAGGGCCAATGTAAGCAAGGTGGGAGTACTGACCATCACTTCAATCCCAGCCAGTTCAATGCCCGTGCTGTTTTAGCCTTGCCACTAGACATTTTATTAAATCTGAATCAACAAAGGGCAAATAAATACGCAGACACCGACATCGCGCATATTCACCATTATTGGCCAACAGCAATGGCACACTTGATAAAAAGTGGTCTTCTAGTGCTGTAGATTTCTCAAAATAATCAATGTCTTGTCATATGAAAGCAAGTGTAGACGTGCTGATGATTAGAGTCATAATACAGTGCCTTGCGAAAGTATTCGGCCCCCTTGAACTTTGCGACCTTTTGCCACATTTCAGGCTTCAAACATAAAGATATAAAACTGTAATTTTTTGGGAAGAATCAACAACAAGTGGGACACAATCATGAAGTGGAACAAAATTTATTGGATATTTCAAACTTTTTTAACAAATAAAAAACTGAAAAATTGGGCGTGCAAAATTATTCAAATCCACATAAGGGATGACGGCAACATTCATAGATCCTGGAATGCACAATGAGGGGCAATGTTCATTCCTATTACAGAGGCCCACTGAAATTTTTTTGAGGAAAAGCTGTGTTAGACTGCATATTGTTTATAGTAAAGTATTTTTATATACAAATATAAAAATGAAAATGTTTCTGGAGTGGGACTTTAATTAATTATAGAAGTTGTGCAGAAGCTGCCCATAGCTCTACACAGTGATCCATGTGTGTACTGTATGTGTTTCTATGCTGCTCCAAATGAGTCTGTTCTGGTTCAACTTGTCTTATTAAATGAGCTTAAAAATAAAGTGACACCTTAGTTATAAAACACTGAGCAGGCTGTAACACACAAGAGTGTGTAATTTCAATATTTACCTACATCCTCGTTTTGTTAGTTGCAGTTAAGCAAACACGCAATTCGCTAATTCATGTTAGTGGATGAGTGAGACTTGTTTAAGTATTTTCCTTCCACGCTAATGATGATTCATTTGAATGACTTTAGGTGTGAATTTTGACTCACGGGCCATTGAATACAGATAAACAACAGGGTGGTTCGTTTTAACATCTATCCATGAGCCAATTTAACGATCATATTACAATTACATTAACTGGGCAGATAGTTTTGTTCTGACCTATTGTACATATGTTATTTGTCTGTCACACACACACACTCCTGCAAACAGAAGTATATAAAATGTATTCACACACTGTTGGAGTGAGATGAAATACACAAGGATTAAAGGCACCCAACACCACAAAGTCACATCACAAAATGCCAAAACAGTCAAAAGTGCATTCATCAGTCTACATGAATTAAATCGATCGTTTCATGTATTTGTTTTATACAGTGTGGCTCCGATGGCATTAGTACCCCTGCAGAGGCAGATCATGAGGAATTGTTTAGTGTTAGGCTGTACCGGAGATCTTTGAGTTCTGAAAATCATTTTCGAGCTGAGGTTAACAATTGTTTAGGTCCTTTTGATGAAGGAAAGCAAAGCAACAAATTACTGAAAAAGTCTAGTTTGTGTTGGCCGCTACAAAGTATTAACTTAAGGGGGCTGAATAATTTTGCACGCCCAATTTTTCAGTTTTTTATTTGTTAAAAACGTTTGAAATATCCAATAAATTTCGTTCCACTTCATGATTGTGTCCCACTTGTTGTTGATTCTTCACAAAAAATTACAGTTTTATATCTTTATGTTTGAAGCCTGAAATGTGGCAAAAGGTCGCAAAGTTCAAGGGGGCCGAATACTTTCGCAAGGCACTGTAGATAAATCAAGAGCTGTCACAGAAGGAGAAGTGGCTAAAAGTTTATCAGGAGCAATACTTTACATGTTACATTTTCTCAACATTTACAGGTTAGTTATTGCTCAGGTTGTTTGTGCAACACAATCTAATTTAAATATTCTCTCAACAAAGACATACTGGTCGATAAATGTTTTGGTAGATTTGTGGATTGCTTCAAGATTTACTGTAATGTACACGTCGCGTGAATATAGACTCACCTACCAAATATGCTTTAGTAGCAACTGTGAAATTAGCCACAGAATTGTGAAATGGTCTTGAATGATCACGTGAATTTTCTTACATGTGCAGTAGTAGCCTCAGCTACTGACAGTAGGTCTCCAGACATGTGTCTAAAGGCCAATACAGGGTCAGTGATTTGAGGGTGGTCTATGGTGCAGAAAAGATTAAAGTGAAGGCAGAGCAGCTCCTGGAGGCTGCTGCCAGATGAAGGCCCCGATGGAGAGGGACCACCCACTCATAAGTCCACGCTACATTGACAATTATTACTTTTTGGTTTTGTAGGTCATTTTCACATTAGGAAAAGCCCAGGTGTAAATAGTAAAATTAATGATTATCACTTTAATGTCATAGTTGGTAATGGCTGGATCTAATGTTAGCAATCTCTGTACAGTACTTTATATACCGTTGGTTAGCTTGTACATTCCTTGTAAATAAAGAAATTCTTATGATTATACTGCATTTTGTATAATTAATCTAAAAAGTAACTAGTAACTAAAGTTGTCAAATAAATGTAGTGGAGTAAAAAGCACAACACAGTGAAGTCAGAGTATGAAGCAGCAGAAAATTATTACAGATACCTCAAAACTGCACTTAAGTACAGTACTTGAGAAGCCTGAATGAAACTGGAAAATGCTGAATGAAAATCTGAATATGTGGCGCAGAAACCATCTAATAAAAAAAATCTCTTTCTCTCTCTCTCTCTCTTAATGTATACACACCTGCACACACACACTCCGCTGTGTTTTCACAACTTGTTGGGATTTTACATTGACTTACATTCATTTCCTGTAGACTTATCCTAACCTTAACCATAACCACTACTTGCCTAACCCTGACCCTAACACTTAACCTAAAACTAACCCCACCCTAACTTTAAAACATGTTGCCACCCTAAAATTCAGTGATTTCCTTGTGGCCGAGTCCCCACAATGTGACACCCACACACACCCACACACACCCACATATTTTTAAGCACTGGCCCCATGGGCCACAAGCCTCTAGATTTGGTGGCCAAAGTATAAACCTATGTAAAAACAACACAAAAAAGGCAATTTAACGTAGCCTTACTTAACTGTGACTTTTCAGTAAATGAAAAGACAAAAACTGCATGAAAATATGTAAAAACTCAAGTTAATTTGTAAACATACACATATTCCTTCTCTTAGTTCACAATCCCCCCAATGCCTCTGCTGCATAACCGCTATCTTTTGCTCCCTCCTGAGTTTGTTCATGTCCATCCATCCATCCATCCATTTTCTTCCGCTTATCCGGGGCCGGGTCGCGGGGGCAGCAGTCTAAGCAAAGATGCCCAGACCTCTCTCTCTCCAGACACTTCCTCCAGCTCCTCTGGGAGAATGCCAAGGCGTTCCCAGGCCAGCCGAGAGACATAGTCCCTCCAGCGTGTCCTGGGTCTTC